TCTTGCCAGGTGCAGTGGTGCATGCTTGTAACTCCAGCAATTAGGAAAGCTGAGGCAGGAGGATTCCAAGTTCAAAGCCTCAGAAACTTAGTGAGACCCTGTCTCAAAACAAAAGATAAAAAGGGCTGGGTATGTGATTCAGTGGTTAAGTGTCACTATGTTCAATCCTTGGTATATGTGTGTGTGTGTGCGCACACACACACACACACACTCTCTACTTTTAAAAATTACATTGAGTCAAACTGTGGCACATGCCTATAACTGCAGACTCGGAAGGCTGAGGAGAAGGATTACAAGTTTGAGGCTAGCCTCAGGAGTGGGGAAAAGCACCCCTGCGTTCAATCCTCATGAAAGAAGGAAAGAAAGAAGTTAGAAAGAAAGGAAGGAAGGAAGGAAGGAAGGAGGGGGGGAGGGGGGGGAAAAGAAAGAATGAATTTAATTGTGCGATTTTTTTCCTGCAAAAGCAGTTTCAAAATTATCTATGCATATGAGGCCTTATTCATAAACTTCTGAACTCTTTGCAGATTCATAACCCCCCTAATGTTAAGTGAGAGAATGGTAGGAATTTTTAGCCTAACTCCAAAAAAGGGTGAAATGCAATTCAGATTATGTCAGATGACCAGCAACGTGGTGGCTGCTGAACCCATAAGTAAAATTCAGAATCACAGTTACTAGGTCCAGGCTGTTCCAAAGTTAAAGGCTACCCTCTATTGGGAAGCAGGTGACTTTGAGAAATGAATTCTACAGTAAAAGTAATTCCCAACTTATGCTACTAATCATCGAATCTATCAAGAGTGAAAGGCTCAACTGTAAATATGCCTTATTTGGACCAACAAGGAAACAGTTAAGAGTGAGCTGGGCATAGTGATGGACACTTATAATTCTAGCAACTTGGGAGGGCCTAAGCAATTTAGCAAGACCCTGTCTCAAAAAAAAAAAAAAAAAAAAAGGGCTGGGGATGGACCTCGGTGGTAAAGCATCCTTGTGTTCAATCCCCAGTACCAAAAGAGAGAAAAAGTGAATGATACAAACCTCAGTTAAAAGTGACTTCATCTAAAGGATAATACCATGGAAAAGAACATTGGCTATTATGAGATATATGTGTCCTGACTCCTAGAGTTCAGGATTTTCTCAAGAATCAAACTCTAAAAAAAAAAAAAAAAAAAGGTACTGAAATTGAACTGAGGGGTGCTTAACCATTAAGCCACATCCCTAGCCCTTTTTATTTTTAAGACCGGACTCACTAAGTTGCTTGGGGCCTCAAAGTTGCTGAGGCTGGCTTTGAACTTGTGATCTTCCAGATTCAGCCTCCCAACCCTCTGGGATTACAAGCTTGCAACCACCACCCCTGCCAAATACAACACTTTTAAAATGCTAAATTCTAACAATTCAAGTGATTTAAATAAGAGAGAAAGGAGAATCATAACTACATAAGCCGATTTGGTTGTTCATGATGCTCTATGATCAGCTCAGGTTTTACAAGTCATATTCAAAGATGGAAGAGGAAACACAGAATCAATGACAAATAAAGAAGAAAATGATAGGAAGCTGTAGTGTGAATGAACTGAAGCTTGCAAAAATTTTACTTATTTATTTATAGCACTAGGGATTGAACAGAGGGCTACTCTGTCATTGACCCACATCCCAAGCTCTGTCGCTTTTATCCCAGGGTTGCATGGATGATTTAACATACACAAATCAACAAATGATTTACCACATAAATAAAATTAGGGACAAAAATCACATAGTGATTTCAATAGCTGCAGAGGAAAGCCTTCAACAAAATCCAGCACCCATTCATGATAAAAACACTAAAGAAATCAGGGACAGTAGAAACTTACTTCAACATCATAAGGGCTATATATGACAAACCCAAAACTAACATCATAGAGAACAGGGAAAAACTAAAAGCATTTACACTAAAATCCAGGACAAGACAAGGATGTCCATTCTCACCGCTGCTAGAAATTCTAGCCTGAGCAATTAGGCAAGAGAAGGAAATGAAAGGGATAAAAATAGGAAAGGAAGAAGTCAAATCATCACCGCAGATGATATGATCCTATACTTAGAAGATGGGAAAAGCGCTACTGGAATACTGCTAGAGCTAATAAACTCAGCAGAGATTACCAAATCAATATACAAAAATCAATAGCTTTACTATATACCAATAATGATATTGATATCATTATTAAATGGTGGTATTCATTTAAATAATAAACCTGCTAAGAAAGAAATCAGAAAAACAATCCCATCCATTATACCCTCAAAAAACAAAACCTAACAATAAATCTAACCAAGGAGGTAAAGGACATCTACAGTGAAAACTCTATAGAACAGTGAAGAAAGAAACTAAAGAAGACACGAGTAGGTGGGAAAGACCTTCCATGTTCATGTATTGGCAGAATTAATATTGTTAAAATGACAAAGCTACCAAAAACAATATACAGATTCAATGCAAAACCCATCAAAATACCAATAATGTTCTTCACAGAATTAGAAAAAAACAAAAATAGTCCTAAAATTCGTTTGGAAGAATAATAGGCCCAGAAAAGTGAAAGCAATTTAAGCCCAAAAAGCAATGCTGACTTCAAATTACACTATACAGCTGTAATAACAAAAACTGTATGGTACTGTCATAAAAATTCACAGACTCATGGTACAGAATAGAAGACTCAGAGACAAACCCACACATATAGTCATCTGATTCTTGACAAATGTGTCAAAAAGCATACACTAGAGAAAAGACAATGTTTATAATAAATACTGCTAGGAAAAAATGGTTATCCATATGTAAAAGAATAAAACTAGATCCTTATCTCTCATCCTGCACAAAAGTCAGCTCAAAATGGATTAAAGACCTAGAAATTAGACCAGAAACTAAGACCAACACTCCAACAAAGATAATAACTTTTTCAATAGGACTCCTAAAACTCAGGAAATAATACTAAGTAGATTAATCAATGAGATGGTATCATATTAAAACGCTTCTACATAGCAAGGAAAATAATAAAGAATGTGAAGACAAAACCTACAAACAAGAGAAAAATTTTGCTAGCTACTGTTCTGACAGAGATTAAAATCCAAAATTTTTAAAGAACTCAAAAAACTTAACATGAGGGGCTGGGGATGTAGCTTAATTGGTAGAATGCCTTTCTCCTATGCACAAAGTCCTTGGTTCAATCCCCTGCACTGCAAAAATAAATAAATTTTAAAAAAAGACTTAATTATAAATGGGCAAGCTGGGTGTGGTGGCACATGCCTATAATCCCAGTGGCTTGGGAGGCTGAGGCAGGAGGATTACAAATTCAAAACCAGCTTTAGCAATTTAGCGAGACCCTGTCTCTAAATAAAAAATATAAAAAGGGTTGGGGATATGGTTCAGAGGTAAAGCACCCCTGGGTTTAATTCCTAATACCAAATAAATAAATAAACAAAATTTTTAAATGGGCAAAAGAACTAAACACTCCTCAAAGGAAAAAACGCAAATAGTCAACAAACATATGAAAAACTTTTTAACATCTTTAAAAATTAGAGAAATGCAAATTAAAACTACACTGAGATTTCACCTTATTCCAGTAAGAATGGCAAACATCAAGAATACAAACAATAGTAAATGCTGGACAAGATGAGGAGAAAAAGGAAGACTTTCATACTGTTGGTGGAATTGTAGATTTATTATAACCACTATGAAAATCAATATGGAGGCTCCTCAAAACACTAGGAATAGACCACCAGATGACCCAGGTATCAATCCTAAAGAATTAAATTATCACCCAAAATTAAAAAAAAATTAAAACCAGCATACTATACAATGTATGAATACCCATATATACAGCAGCAAAATTCACAATAGCCAAACTGTGGGAATAACCTAGGTATATGTAAATGAATGAATAGATTAAAAAAATTAAGCATATATGCACAATGGAGTTTCATGTAGTCATAAAGAATAAAATCATGTCATTTTTAAGACATTATATTAAGTGAAATAAGCCAAACTCAGAAAGTCAAGGGTCATATCTTTTCTCTCATATGTGGAAAATGGGGGGGGGGGGGAGAGAAGAAAGGGGGTAGTGGAGGGAATCTCATGAAAATTGAAGGAAGATTAGTGTAAAGAAAAAGGACCAAGGGGAGAAAGGAAGGGAGAAAAAAGGAAAAAGGGAAATACTGGGGAATGATATGAGCCAAATTATATTGTTATATCACATGCATATACAAATATGTAACACAGATTCCATTATGTATAATTAGAATGTACCAATAAAAATATGGAAAAATAGGGCCAGGGTTGTGACTCAGTGGTAGAGCGCTTTTCTAACATGCATGAGGCACTGGATTTGATCCCTGGTATCACATAAAAATAAAAACAAATAAAATAAAGGTATTGTGTCCATCTACAACTAAAAAATATTTTAATAGTATTTAATAGTACTTGATACATGTTAATTCTTTTGATTCTCATAACAATCCTATGAAGTTTGCATTATTACATTATTACAATCTTTATTTATAGAAAAGGAAAATTAAGTATAGAGAGATTAAACTACCCAAAGTCATACTGCTAGATGGTACTTGAGCTGAGATTTGAACTAGTGTAGTTTAAGAATTATGTACTTGGGGCTGCTTGCTGGGCATGCATAAGATCCTGGATTCAATCCCCAGCACCTAACTCTCTCTCTCCTTCTCTCTCTCTCTCTCTCTCTCTCTCTCTCTCTCTCACACACACACACACACACACACATACAATTATGTAATTATGTACTTAAGCCAGGAGGAATGGCTCATGCCTGTAATCACAGTGACTCAGTAGGTTGAAGCAAGAGAATCACAAATTCTAGGATAGCTTTGGTAACTTCTTGAGACCCAGTATCAAAATAAATATCTCAAATAATGTCAAATAAAGTTGACAGAAGGTTATCAAAGCATTCACTTCTCTTTATGTTTTAGCTGTGGGAGAGAATCAGACCCAGATCTTTAAGCGCAAAGAAGGGTAAATAAGGGTTTCCTTGGGCAGCACATATACTAAAATTGGAACAATACAGAAGATTAGCTTGGCCCTTGCATAAGGATGACATGCAAATTCATGAAGTGGTCCATATTAAAAAAAAAGGTAAGTAACTCCAATACTGCTCTGAAGTTCTTCCAGTTATTCTTTAAACAGCTACAGACAAAATAAGGAAAGAGAAGCTATATTTGTAACACAAACAACACCAACACCACACCTACAAAAATCTCATTAAAAAACAGAACCATCAAGATCCATTTTGCTTATGAATATCAATGAAAAAATACATTAAAACCAGGTAGGGCTTAAACAACTAATATAAGAATCGGTGAAATGTTATATGACTTATTTTTTTGTACTGGGGATTGAACCCAGGGGAGCTTATCCACTGAGCTACCCCCAGCCCTTTTTATTTTTTTAAATATTTATTTTTCAGTTGTAGGTGGACACAATATCTTTATTTCATTTTTATGTGGTGCTGAGGTTTGAACCCAGTACCTCATGTGTGCTAGACAAGCACTCTACCACTGAGCCACAACCTCAGCCCCTTATTTTTTATTTTGAGACAGGGTCTCACTAAGTTGCTTAGAGCCTTGCTAAGTTATTGAAGCTGGCTTTGAACTTGTGATTCTCCTGCTTCAGTTTCTGGAGTCACTGGAATTACAAGTGTGTGCCACCAAACATAGCTATATAACTAACATAATTGATTACATTAGATCTAAGCAAAGAAAATTATAAACTCATGATTACAAAAATTATAAATTATAAAATCATAAATACTGAAAGGGCATAAATAAGTTCAATACTGTTCTTGATAAAAATGACTAGTAAAAGAGGAATATCTGGATAATTTTTAAAATAATAAAAGTAGTTCTAGTTCAACCCTATAGCTAGTAATACACTTAATGGGGGAGGGTATATACAATATCACTATTATTAGGGTTAACACTAATGTACTTAGAGAAAAGAAATCACAAGCTGAGCACCATGGCACACACCCACCTATAATCCCAGTGATTTAGGAGGCTGAGTCAGAAAGTGTATAAGTTCAAGGCCAGCCTCAGCAACTAGGCAAGACCCAAGCAACTTAGTGAGACCCTGTCTCAAAACAAAAAATAAAAAGGGCTGGGAATGTGGCCTTGTGGTAAAGTAACCCTGGTTCAATTCCTAGTATCGATGAATTAATCAATCAATCAATCAATGTGATGTGGCTCAATGGTAGTATGTCCCTGGGTTAACCCCCAGTATTGCAATAACAAAATCACAAATGTAAAAAACTGGAATGGAGAGGGTAAAATTATTATCTCCAGGAAGCATACTTAGATAACTCCATGAGATTTAATAAAGTAAATACTATAACCAGTAAACAAAGGCAGTATGACAGTTAAAATTTTTTAAGATTACCATACAGCAAAAATCTTAAGAAATGTATAGGATTTATATGAAGATGACTTTAAAATGAATATGAATGAATACAAGAGAAATTTGGATAAACTGAAAATCATATTGTAAGATAAGATAAAGATATTTAATCTCCTTAAGTATTTATATAAATTAAATGTGATTATAAAAATTATACTGCCAGATTCTATTTTTAAATTTTTTAAAAATTATTTATTTATTTTATGTATGTATGTATGTATGTATGTATATATATCAGGGACTAAACCTAGGGGTGCTTTACCACTGAGCCACATCCTCAGCCCTATTTTGTATTTTATTTAGAGACAGTATCTCACTGAGTGGCTTAGTGCCTTGCTGTTGCAGAGGCTGACTTTGAACTCACAATCCTGCTGCCTCAACCTCCCAAGTTATATTTGTAACACAAATGTGCCACCGTGCCAGGCTAAAAAGTAGTTTTAATGTTCCTATCAAGAGAAAAAATTAAAATATAGTTAAAAAATACAAAAGTAGACAGGAAAACTTAAAAAACAAAACAGTAAACTAGTTCTACCAGATTCTAAATCTTCTAAAATGAAACCCACACTGGAAAAAGTGGCACATGCTTATATACTTGCAGCAACATGAGAGGCTGAGGCAGGAGGATCATAAGTTCCAAGCTAGCCTCTGCAACCTAGCAAGTCCCTGTCTCAAAACAAAAAATTAAAAAAGGGTCTGGGAAGGCAGCTCAGTGGTTCTACTCCTGGGTTCTACTCCCAGTACCACAAAACACAAAAAACAACAAAATCCATGTGAACTCTCATCTGAACAATCAGCTCACTATAATAGAAGTGCAAAAAAATATGTCTGGATACACACAGAAAATTAATAGTATGATGAAAAATGACATTCCAAATCAGTGGAAACAAATGGAATATTAATGGGCTGGGACAAATAATGAGCCATCATGGGGAGAAAGTTGGATCAGTCTTCTTATGGGGGATTAAGTTTCCTAAAGAATCAAGAATTTTAAATACAAAAAATTAAAATATAAAGTACTAAATGATCTTAATGATGACACAAAAAACTAGGAACCATAAAAGGAAAGTTGTATAATTTTGATTTAAAATAAGTTCTATGACAAAAATAACCTTCAGCAAAGTCAAAAGATAAATGACAGGTAGGAAACTCTTATTATAAGTTAATTTTCTGATTTATAAAGAGCTTCTGTAGAGTTGCTGAGGAAAAGACCATTAACACAATAGAGAAAGAGGTAAAGCATGTAGGCAGGTCAAGACAGAGCAGCAAATGGTCAAGTATACAAAGAGACACACAACCTGTTTGGGACCAATTTAAAATGTACACATACTACTTTTTATCTATCATATTTGCAAATATATAAGAATTCAATAAAAGTTATCAGAAAGAGTTTAGGGAATCAAGTATTCTCATGAATTGCAGGTAGGAATTTAAAGTGGCACAATATGCACAAAGGGCAATATGGTAAGATCTACCAAAATTACCAATGTACATACTCTTTTCCTCCCTGAAATTTCAAATTTTAGGTATTTATCTTATCAATATGCTCATACATGTGCAAGATGACAAACTGTAATATAGCTTGTATAGCAGAAGGTTGAAAACAACCTAATAGAACACAAGGTTAAAAAATAAAATTTATTCAAGGCAGCCATAAAAAATTAGTAAACTCACTGACTGACTGACTGAATGTAGTATTGGGGATTGAACCTATGGCCTCCTGCATGGTAGGCAAAAGTTCTACTACTGAGCTACACATCCTCAGCTTTGAATAAATTCTTTCTATATTGATATGTAAAGATCACTAAGATATACTGTTAAAGAAAAAACACAAGAAAAATAGATACAGTGTGCTGCCATTCAGAATACATAAAAGGTGGGAAAATATTACTTTGCATTTGTTTTTACATACATAATATCCTTGAAAAGACAGACAAGAAACTGTTAACAGTGGTTGCCTGTGGTAAGAAATGGTAGGTGGCAGGGAAGAGGATTGGAAGGCTTCATATTGTACATCTTTTTATATTTCTAAAATTTTTGAACAGTGACTATATTACCTAATTCATATTATATCAATAGAAAGTGACAAATTAAGGAAACAAATTAACTGTAAAAAAAATTACAGCCAGTAAGATTTGGGCCAGAAAAGTAGAGATGAACAAACACATTTTGGTTTTCTTTCTTCTTTCTTTGGGGGTGGGTGGTTGGGTGGGTACTGAGGATTGAACTCAGGGGCATTCAACCACTGAGCCACATCCCCAGCCCTATTTTGTATTTTATTTAGAGACAGAGTCTCACTGAGTTGATTAGCGCCTTACTGTTGCAGAGGTTGGCTTTGAACTTGAGATCCTCCTGCCTCAGCCTCCCAAGCCAATGGGATTATAGGCGTGTGCCACCAAACCCAGCACATTTGGTTTTTGATAAGGGAAAGTAAACTGCTATGGATTCCTAGTAGGATTAAAGAACAGATTATTGGACATACCTGGATTATAAGCATTTAGAAAGAAATGGATGAGATTTCACTAAGGAACAGAACATGAAAAACCAACCTCATTTCCTTTGATAAAAGTATCAAGAGTGTTATACAGTTGGGGGCAGAGGCCTGTAATCTCAGTGGCTCAGGAGGCTGAGACAGGAGGATCATCAGTTCAGAGTCAGCCTCAGAAATTTAGCAAGGCACTAAGCAACTCAGTGAGACCCTGTATCTAAATAAAATACAAAAAGGGCTGGGGATATGGTTCAGTAGTTAAATGCCCCAGGATCAATCCCCGATAACCACCTCCCCACCCCTTCCGCCAAAAGAAGAAAACACTGGCATACAGGGAAATGCCACAAATAGACAACATCTTAATTATTTTAAGGTATCCAACAAATCCTTTCTACAGATAAGACAGGAAACATATACTTCAGATGTGAATAACTAAGCCCTAAAATGTAATTTATGAACCAAAATCAACAGACAAAACCCACAATACAACAAAGCTTGGTGCAGTGTCCTGATTCACCGATTTTTCCTTCCCTTTCCCTTTTTTTTTTTTAAAGAGTGAGAGAGAGTGAGAAAGAGTGAGAGAGAGGGAGAGAGAGAGAGAGAATTTTAATATTTATTTTTTAGTATTTGGCGGACACAACATCTTTGTCTGTATGTGGTGCTGAGGATCGAACCCGGGCGGCATGCATGCGAGCGCGCTACTGCTTGAGCCACATCCCCAGCCCCTCCCTTTTCTTTTCTAACTAGGGATTGAACCCAGAGGTGCTTTACTACTGAGCTACATTCCCAGCCCTTTTTATTTTTTATTTTGAGACAAGATCATGTTAAGTTACTCAGGGCTTCCCTAAATTGCTGAAACTGGTCTTGAACTTGCAATCCTCCTGCCTCAGCCTCCCAAATCACTGGGATTACAGGCCTGTGACACCATACTTTGCTCTGATTTATCAGTTTTGCTAATAATCTGAAGGAAGAAAGGGGAAGGGTGTTTATCAAATTAGTAGATGATATAAGAATGAGAGAAGACTAATCAAAGTTCAATAAGATATTGAGAGGCAAGAGCTAGGAATCAATGATGCCATGATAAAATTTCATGAAAACAAATACAAACCTGCTTTGGTTTTTAAAAGATTCCAGCCACACAAGTTAAGTACAGAGCATTTGAGTTTTGGCTTAATAATAATAAATCAAGAA